AGGAAGTTGCCTCAACTTGGTCCAATTACAACATGTATGGCCCAATCATAAACTTGCTCGGCCTATTCACTTGGCATAAATTCCCCTCTCATACATACATTCATACATACATTCATACATATATACATACAAATATATAACATGTTTATATTCAAATAGTCATGCTTGTAGGAAAAAAAAAAAAGAAACCCAGCAATTTATTTAGTTTTTTATTTTTTAAATTAATCAAACTCATTCAATTTTTTTAATATACGTGATTTCTATTCATTTTTTTTTTTTGGTCTCAACTCATTCAACTACTCAAACTTAGGCCCATTTTGAGAACATTTGGCTTTTTAATTTTTTTTAATTTTTTTGAATCACATTACCTTTTTATTTTTTTTACATATTTAAAAAAATAGTAAAAAAAATATTTAAAAAACTAATTTTCAACCTATTTCTCAAAACAGAGTTCGCAATGATGTGTTATTTATTTATTTTTGTCCTCATGTGCAACGATGAAAGTTCAGGACCTAATGATTGAACAACAAAAGAGGTGAGCTTAAGCACGTGGTTCCATATTATTTTTTATTTATTTTTATATCAAACACACAAAACGAAAGGATTTTGCTATCACAACAGCTTGATGTGACAGCACCCACTCTTAACTACTCAAGGGTTAGGAGTATTTTGAGAACATTTGGCTTTTTAATTTTTTTTGAATCATATTACCTTTTTATTTTTTTACATATTTTTTCAAAAAATATTAAATAAAAAATAAAAAATCTAATTTTAAACAGAGTTCACAATGCAAAAATATTAAATAAAAAATTAAAAATCTAATTTTCAACAGAGTTCACAATGCTGTGTTATTTTATTTATTTATTTTTCCTAATGTGCAACGATGAAAGTTCAGGACCTAATGATTGAACATCAAAAGAGGTGGACTCAAACACATGGTTCAATATTATTTTTTATTTATTTTTATATCAAACACACAAAATGGCAGGGTTTTGCTATCACAACAGCTTGTTGTGACAACACGTACTCCTAACTACTCAAACTTAGGCCAATTTTGAGAACATTTGGCTTTTAATTTTTTTAATTTTTTTGAATCACATTATCTTTGTCACGACCCAAACCCGTCTCTATAGGTTTAGCATCGTAATCAGCCAGCAATCCTAAGATTACCGAGGGCCTCTAAACAGAATAACAAAATGTAAGGGACTAGTGGAAGCAAATATATATAAAATACAATGTCCATAGAGCTGTACTGACGTACAAGGGATAGAATATTTTAAACTTAAATATATACATATGACATCAAAATTACATAAGTCATGTATCACCATACAGATATTATCAAAAGGGACTTGGCTCAGTGTATGGATAAATAAAAACAAAATAAAACAAATAAATCCTTAACATAACCCACAAAAACTTGACTTCTTCAGACGGGAACCTCCCCAAGAGGCGCAAAGGTTGGCTGACAATAGACTTCCAGGTAGCCATCACTGAGACTAGTCACGCTTCTAATCACCTACATACATAATATAAATAGTGAGCGAAAGCCCAGCGAATAATATTAGAGTAAAGGGTTTAATGAATGATGTTCCATAACAAATTCGAAGAGCAGCGTTCGGATTAGAAACAGATTCATATTCTTATTCAGAGTTTAGAAGCTTGTACTTATTCAATTTTTACAGATGATCGTACATGGTACACCCATTAGAGCTAACAGATCAGATACAGAGCATTAAGGGTCATACTTGATCAGTTCCATAAACGAACCTCTGATACCGGGAACAATAACATACTTAAGCTATAGTATTGTTACCCCTGGGCAAGGGCTTTGTACTCATAAACCACGGTATACCCCGGGGTAAGGGCCGTGTGCTAAAGATGTCACGAATACTTTTCAATATATAGACAATTATTCATTGATATAAAACATAACATTTTAGAAAACAAATCATTTCTTGTCATATCATATAAGAAAATACTTAAACGTAAACATAACTTTACAAAGTTATTACTCATAATTGGCTCCAAAAGCAGACAACAGAGCAGACAGACTAAATAGCTTATGGCGCATGACCTACATGCAAACACATAACAAATACATATTGAAACACACGCTCGGAAGACATGTAACTCGTTTCATTCTATCTTGGTGTGTTTCTAATTTTTATCCTCATTACTATGCCTTAATTAGGGCTTAGGAATGCCTAAGATGTAATGAGGATGCTAAAATGCACTTTAGAACACTTAGTCAAATTTTCAAAAACAAGGTAGTCTGTTCGAGCGTAACATTGGTTGCTCGAGCGGCCTGCAAAAATTTGCAAAAGTACTAGTTACTTGATTTTTTCGCTTGACAGACACTCGATGGTTGCTTGAGCGCAAGACTGAGGTCTCTACTCGAGCGCAACTCTGGTCGCTCGAGTAGTCTGCAAATTTCATAAACTTCTGAGAGCTCTCATTCTCCGCTCGAGCGGCGGAGTCTACACTTGAGCGGAGGGTGCAACTTCTGAAATTTTCAGATTGCACTTCCAAGTTCCAAACTCATCTTTAACCTTCCAAAACACATCTTTTTGAGCCCAAAGTTGAGAAAACACTTGTAAATTTATAAAACATCATGAATTAAAGATCATTTTGCAAAATCAAGGCCCAAAACAAGTGAATTATCCATAAACAAACTTGAATTGTATATATATGGCATGCATGAAGTGACATGAATTCTTTTCTTCCAAAACATGATCAATTGAGATGTTTGGCACAAAAACATGTTGAATTCTTAAAACATAGCCAAGATAAGAACTTGCATGTGAGAATTTCTTAGAAAACATGCTAATATACAATGAGATGCACGTGCATGCATGAATTGGTTCCCAATTCCATTCTTTAAGCTCAATTCTCATGTTAATTCACCTCTTTCACTTGATTTCATGTGCTTAACAACTCAATCGCATAACTAAAGGGTTGAAGTCTTACCTTTAAGTCCTAATTTGCCAGAATTCCAAGTTGTTCCTCCAAAATTTCTAAGTCTCTAGCTTAAGTTCAAGCTAATTCCTTAATCTTCCTTTTTTTTGGTCTCAATCTCTAGCTCTCCCTCTCTTTCACGTTTATGTTGAGCTCAAATGAGTGAAGAAAATGTGTAAAATACATTAGAAGTGGCCTTATATAGGCTTAATTTGACTTAGGCTAATTAATTGTAGTTAGTGCTAATTATTTTATTCTAAATATTTGATTCCGAATCAAATTCTAATTAACTCTACCATAAATTTCTACAAATTCCCTATTACATATTAACCTAGTCAATTCCGTGATCGGATGCCGATAAGGCCTTCAATTCGCATAACAGAACAAAAACACAAACATATATTTCTACGACCAACAAATATAAATGCAAATAACATATAACACATGCAATTAATGCAGAATTTCACCTTAATTACTTGTTAGGCCTTCTTAATCACGGTTTAATAGTTAATCACATGTCAGGGTTGTTACAACTTTTTTATTTTTTTACATATTTTTTCAAACAATATTAAATAAAAAATTAAAAAACTAATTTTCAACATATTCCTCAAAATAGAGTTCACAATGCGGTGTTATTTTATTTTATTTTTTTTCCTAATGTGCAACGATGAAAGTTCAAGACCTAATGATTGATTGAATAGTGAAGGAGGTGGGCTCAAGCTCGTGGTTTCATATTATTTTTTATTTTTTTATATCAAACACACAAAACGGCAAGATTTTGTTATAACAATAGCAACCAACTGTGATAGCACCCACTCCTAACTACTCAAACTTAAGCCCATTTTGAGAACATTTGGCTTTTTAATTTAGTAATTTTTTTAAATCACATTATGTTTTTATTTTTTTACATATTCTTTCAAAAAATATTAAATAAAAAATAAAAAAGCTAATTTTCAACATATTTCTCAAAGCAGAGTTCACAACGCTGTGTTATTTTGTTTGTTTTTCCCCAAATGTGCAACAATGAAAGTTTAAGACCTAATGATTGAATATGAAAGAGGTGGGCTCTAGCACGTGGTTCCATATTAGTTTTTTATTTTTTTATATCGAACACACAAAACAACATAGTTTTGCTATCCCAACAACCTGTTGTGACAACACCCACTCCTAACTCTTTTTTATACTACATTAAAATTATTAGAATTGTTAATTGAAATATATCTATAATATATTAAAAATTATTAATTAATTTATTAATAAAAAAATTTATTTTATTATGTGATTAGAAATTTGAAGAAAAATCATGTCATTTTTAAAATTAGAGGAATAATTTATAATTTAAACAAATCTCAAAGAGTATATTTATAAGAAAATAAAAATAAAAAAGTAAACCAATCAACACATAGAAGTATGAGTGCTTAAAGATCAGATTAGGTTGAGTGACCTCTTGTTTAAACGTAAGTAGATTTAGAAAAATCAATCTATATTTGTCGACTTAGTTAGCGGATGCGAATTAAACTGATTGAAGAGTGGATGCGAATTGATTTAACATTTGGACTTTACTATTTTGAGCATTTTTTTGGAACTATTTTCTAATAATTTTGTACTATTTTGGATTCAAAATTTTGTAATTTTCATTTTTCATAATAAAAATAAGACTCAACATTCGTATGGTATAAATAACAAATATAATTACTAAAAAAAAATTTTAATACACAAAACATATAAGTGTGACGTAACTTTTTTAAAAATGTTAGTGAATCGGATTAGATCGGAAAACTCCTTCCACCATCTTCTCAAACATAAATAGATTGCAAAAAACATATCCACGGTTAGTCAACTCAAACTATTAAAACTGTTTAATTTTGACGAATCCAATAGATGATGATCACCCACGTAACCAAAAAAAAAAAAAACCAAACAAACCGTAAAATAATTTTTTAAACAATAATAATAATAATAATAATTTCTCAAACAGACAACTCTTGAGACTAGTCAAACCGAAATCATTCTTCATCTTCATCTTCATCTTCATCTTCATCATCTCCTGTTGTATGTACACACACGCTTTTATGGAGAGGGAAGGCATGGTAGATGGACAAACATCGATTCCTCTGCTTAACAGAGAAAACCCAGATCATGGTGCTTCATCATCTTCATCCTCTTCGGCCACACCTGTACTTTTATTCAGCACTTTCGTTGCCGTCTGTGGTTCTTATGTCTTTGGCTCTGCTGTAAGTTCCATTTTTCTCCTACTGCCAAAATTTATGATCGATTCCACTCAATTCATACATAAGCTTGTGTAAAGTTCAGCAATTAGGCATATTGATTTTTAATCTGGCCAAAAAAAAGTTTTAAAAAAAATTTGTACAGAGAAAGGGCTCACTTTTGAATCATAGGGATATCCATTTATGTTTTCAATACAAATGTTGAGTGCAAAGTTGACACTACCTCTTTTTGTGCTTAGTTAGCTTAAAATAAACCCACAAATATGCAATGGTTTTTTTTAGGGAAAATAACAAATAGATAACAAATCAGTGCTACTTTTGAAAAATAATTTACAGATTCATAGAAAACCTTATGACTTTAATCATTACGGTTTGTAAACGTGTATTATAAATCTGTAATTATATTTCAGAAGTACCGCTGAATTATAATTTTCCTTTTTTTTTTAAGTGACTTGAGTGGCTTTTTAGTGGGAATTGTTAGAAATGGCTTTTGTATAATCTTATTTTTGTCAACTTTGAACATTAATTAAGATGGGACCCAAATGTTGTTTTTAACGTTTCTAAGTGGGTTTATGTTTAATGTCGCATAGTGAATAAATTCATGTATTTGATTGCTCAAAATTATTTCTGGATGAATGAGAATTCAACACGTATTTTCGGGTTCGTGAAACTAGTTTTTTGGTAGGTTTCCTACGCATTTGTAAAATGTGCTTGTCTCACATTGGAAAGGCTTGAGGCTTTGAATGGGTTTATATACCTTAACTTGGGATACTTGGGATGGGCCCCAAGGCGTATCCAAATTTGTGAAAGGATGAGATTATGGGTGAAGTGGACTAGACCCATTGGACCCAAATTAAAACCACACGCGCGCCGCCGCCGTCCATCCAGTCGGGCTGGCTGGGCGCGGCTGCATGGTGTGAGGTTGGGTTGGGCTAGTCCGACCCAATATTTATCTTTTTGGGCCAAAAAGATTTGCAATTTATTTTTTATTTTTAATTTTGGTTTCAAAATTGAAAATAAATTGGTCAAAAAAATTTTCTTCACACAAACAGGTCCCTAACAGGTTCATACCACCCGAACAGGTTCAGAACAGTCAAAAACAGGTTCACACCTGTTGAATTCAACTGTTTATCTGTTCAAACAAATTGGTACCTGTTTAATCTGTCTGAACAAGTTTTCCACCTGTTCGAACAACCACCTTTCCTCCTATAAAAAGCCAGCCTTCCAGCAATTCAGAACATACATTTTTTCCCCTAGATTTTCATCTCTCTTCTCTCCTTTCCGTTTTCCTATTTTCTGCATTTATTCTGCATTTAATTTAGGAAAAGAAAGAGAGAGTTTTAGCAAAGTTTTAGTTCGCCAGACTTGATTTTATAGTGCTATAAAATCAAGTGTTAGTCGTTGAATCTTGGGAAGTAGACGTCGGTAAAACTCGAAGCACCGGAGCGAGGGCGAAATCTACTTTAAAGAGATTGTGTCCAACACAAGCCTCGACATTAATTTTTGTAAGCATTTAATTCGAAAAATAATATATATAATTATTTTCTGAATTATTTTATTTTATTATTTATTTACTTTATACATTTAATTTACACACACACATACACACCTTTGTGGGTACAACAATCTTAAAGTAGATTTTTTTTTATTTATTTATTTCTACGATAGACAGACAAATATTTTGTTTTGGAAAATTAAATAGTAGTAATATACTGTTTAATTTCTTAAATAGTAGTAATATACTATTTAATGATTTCTTTGATAACATAGTAGTAATATACTATTTATTATTGAGATTTTGTTACAAAAAATTATTCTGTTTATTTTATGTGTAAATTCTTTTGTATATAAATTTGTGATTGGGGTATTTTTTTTATTTCCTCAGAATTATGACAACAGAAATAAACAATACTGAGACTATTATTATTCCGACCCCTATACCTGTTGTGCTAGTGATGACTCCGGTAGTACCGGTAAATCATGGGGAGAAACCAAAAAAATTCAATGGCGATGATTTTAAAAGATGGCAACAAAAAATGATATTTTATCTTACGACATTGAATTTGACTTGCTTCACTCATGAAAAGGCACTGGCACTGAATGAGGGAGAAACTGACCGGCAAGTGGTTGCCTCAGTCGATGCATGGAAACATGGTGATTTTTTGTGTCGGAATTATATCCTCAATGGGTTGGACAATACACTGTACAATGTGTATAGTGTCAAAAGCACTGTTAAAGAACTGTGGGAATCACTAGATCATAAATATAAGACACAGGACGCTGGTACAAAGAAATTTGTTGTCGGCCATTTTCTGGATTTTAAATTGATGGATTCCAAGACGGTTATTAGTCAGGTTCAAGATCTCCAATTAATTCTCCATGACATACATGCGGAAAGGATGGTTCTCAGTGAATCTTTTCAGGTTGCGGCAATCATTGAAAAATTGTCACCATCTTGGAAAGAATTCAAAAGTTATCTAAAGCATAAGCGTAAGGAGATGAAATTGGAGGAATTAATAGTGCGGCTCTGAATTGAGGAAGACAACCGTGGTTCTGACAAGAAGTCAGGAAACCATGTCATGCAGGCTAAAGCAAATGTTATGGAATGTGAACATGGGTCAAAGTTCAACAACAAGAAGCGGAAGCATGATGGCAATGGTCCCAAACAAGGATCCACTAGTAAGATCAACAAAAGGATCAACAACGGGTTCAACAAGAGGTTCAAAGGGAAGTGCTTTGTGTGCGGCAAAGATGGACATCGCGCTAAGGATTGTCACGTTCGCAAAGACGGAGGAAGTTCTAGCAAAAAGCCAGCACAAGCCAACCTAGCCGAAGATTTTTTTCTTTTCGATGGAGTGGCAGACATCAATCTTGTTGCAGTAGTCTCTAAAGCAAACTTGGTGGGGCAATCCCAAGGAGTGGTGGGTGGATACTGGAGCAACCCACCATATCTGTGCAGATAAAAAGATGTTCACAACCTACAAAGTGGTGGAAAATGGGGAACAACTTTTTATGGGAAACTCTTCTACTTCAACCGTAGAAGGACAAGGAAAGATCATGCTAAAAATGACCTCGGGAAAAGAACTCACTCTTAACAATGTACTCCATGTGCCAGAAATTCGCAAGAATTTGATTTATGGGCCATTGTTAGTCAAGAATGGATTTAAATTAGTCTTTGAATATGATAAAGTTGCATTCTTCAAGAGTGGAATGTATGTGGGGCGAGGATACATGAGTGATGGGCTTTTTAAGCTGAATGTAATAACTGTTGTACCTAATTTGGCTTTTAATAATAATAACACATCTTCTGTTTATATTGCTGAGTTTTCTTTTTTATGGCATGGTAGATTAGAATATTGTTAATTTTAATTCTTTGCGTAGACTTGTTGCTTTAGAATGTTTACCAAACTTAGAATTGGATTCTAATCATAAATGTGAGATTTGTATTGAGGCAAAAGTCACTATGGTATCATTTAATAAAGTTGAAAGAAGTATTGAATCTCTAAGTTTAATTCACACAGATATCTGTGATTTAAAATTTGTTCAAACTAGAGGAGGGAAGAAGTATTTTATTACTTTTATTGATGATTGCACTCAATATTGCTATGTTTACTTATTGAGAAGTAAAGATGAAGCCGTAGAAGCTTTTAGGCAATATAAACTTGAGGTTGAAAATCACTTGGCAGAACTATTAAGATAGCGAGGAGTGACAGAAGTGGTGAGTATAATGCACCATTTGAAGAATTTTGTTCTGAACATGGTATCATTTACCAAACCACTGCACCCTATTCTCCTCAGTTAAATGGAGTTGATGAGAGAAAGAATTGAACTCTTAAAGAGATGATGAATGTCATGTTGATTAGTTCAGGGTACCTCAGAACTTGTTGGGGGGGGGCAATTTTGTCTACTAACTTTATCCTTAACAGCGTACCCCACAAAAAACTCAATCAAACACCTTATGAGTTATGGAAAGGTCGACGACCTACTTATAATTACCTCAAAGTGTAGGGGTGTTTGGCTAAGGTGGCAGTCCCTAGTCCCAAAACGTTTAGATAGGACCAAAGAACGTTGATTGTGTGTTCATTGGCTATGCCAATAATAGTAGTGCATATAGATTTTTAGTTCATAGATCTGAAAATTCGGATATGCATGTAAACACTATTATTGAGTCAAGAAATGCGTCGTTTTTTGAACATATTTTTCCTAATAAGGAAACTAAAGAGAAAAGTTCAAATAAAAGAACTTTTGATACTGCTATGGGTAGCAGTGAAGACCATAATGATAATGAATCCGATGAACCTAGACGTAGCAAGAGGGCTAGAATCTTTAAATCATTTGGTCCAGATTTTCTGACATAATTGTTAGAAAATGAGCCTCAAAACTTCAAGGAAGCAATGTCAAGTCCTGAAGCTCCGTTGTGGAGAGAGGCTGTGAATAGTGAATTGAATCAATACTGCAAAATCATACTTGGGAACTGATGGATCTTCCACCAGGATGTAAACCTCTTGGATATAAGTGGATATTCAAGAGAAAAATGAAAGCAGATGGTTCAATAGATAAATACAAGGCTAGGCTTGTTGTTAAGGGGTACAGGCAGAAGGAAGGCCTTGATTATTTTGACACCTATATACTATTGACAAGAATAACATCTATTCGCATGTTGTTGGCGATTGCAGTTTTGTATAATCTAGAAATACATCAAATAGATGTTAAAACAGTTTTTTTGAATGGCGAGTTAGATGAGGAAATCTGTATGGAACAATCAGATGGGTTTCAAGTTCCCTGCCAAGAGAAAAAGGTTTGTAAACTTGTCAAATCCCTTTATGGATTAAAACAAGCTCTAAAACAATGGCATGGAAAATTTGATCACGCTATTCTTTCGGATGGTTTTAAGATAAACAAATGTGACAAATGCATCTATATTACAAGCACAGACAAAGGCTGTGTCATAGTTTGTCTTTATGTGGATGACATGCTCATTATTGGAAGCAATAATGACATGATTAAATCTACAAAGAAAATATTGAACAAAAAGTTTGACATGAAAGATTTGGGAGTAGCAGATGTAATTCTAGGAATAAAGATTACTAGAACATCTGGAGGATATGCTTTATCTCAGTCTCACTATGTTGAGAAGATTCTGGAGAAATTTGGAAAGCATGACGACTGTCCTGCTTAGACACCTATTGACATTAGTCTTCATTTGTCAAAAAATACAGGTGCAGGCATATCACAATTAGTGTACTCTCGGATAATCGGAAACTTGATGTACTTAATGAATTGCACTAGGCCAGATATAGCCTATGCTGTAAGCAAATTGAGTAGGTACACAAGTAATCCGGGGTCCGATCATTGGAAAGCAGTAATTAGGGTACTTAGGTATCTAAGACATACCCAGAATTCTGGCGTACATTATACCAAATATCTAGCAGTACTCGAGGGGTATAGCGATGCAAATTGGATATCAGATACTAAAGACTCAAAATCCACTAGTGGATACGTCTTTGCCCTAGGAGGTGCTGCAGTCACTTAGAAATCTTCCAAGCAGACATGCATAACTAGGTCGACAATAGAATATGAGTTTGTCGCATTAAATAAAACAGGAGAAGAAGCAGAATGGCTTCGTAATTTCTTAGAAGACATTCCAATGTGGCCTAAACCTGTGTCAGCTATATGCATTCACTGTGATGGTGAAGCAGCAATAGGACGGGCATAGAATCATATGTATAACGGTAAGTCTCGACACATTCGTCGAAGACATAATTCCGTTAGGCATTTGCTCTCACATGGAATAATTTCCATAGAATATGTAAAGTCAAAGGAGAATATTGCGGATCCATCGACTAAAAGGCTAGCCAGAGAGCAAGTGTACCATTTATCGAGGGGAATGGGATTAAAGCCTATGACTTAAAAGTCGCCAAAATGGCAACCCAACCTAGTTGACTGGAGATCCTAAGATCTGGGTTCAAAGGGACAATCGAGTTATGGATGACTTCATGTATCACTGAGGAGGTTTACTCCTACCCATTTCTATGATAAGAAGTGTGATACCTGCAGCGTTAGTAGGATAAGCTTTGCTTTTAATGATTCTTATAGTTTGGACATCCAAGTGGGGTATAGTAGGATACTCTTAATAAGAAGTCACCAATATGAGTATGAACTAGGCCGGTTCTGTGAGAATTGAGAAGGCTAAATTCTCTAGAGCACTCGTGAATTACTAGGCGTTGTTCAGGGCCAAAATGAACACAACCGTAAGAACCAAACTGTGTCTGCGAATACACTATGTGTAGTCTATTGTCTTGGCTTACACAAACAGCTAAACAGTTCAAGGTATTGCGTTCACTGATTAGCCAGTAAGTCTAATAGGCTTTCGCTAGAGGAGGTTCAAAACCAAAAGTTACCTATCTCGATGTGGTATATCTTCTTAAGCTACCTATCTTGTTGCATGTCCGTTATCGTGAATTCCATTCATGTGGGGGATTGTTGGAAAATGGCTTTTGTATAACCTTATTTTTTGCTAAATTTGAGCATTAATTAAGGTGGGACCCAAATGTTATTTTTAACGTTTCTAAGTGGGTTCATGTTTAATGCCTCATAGTGAATAAATTCATGTATTTGGTTGCTCAAAATTATTTCCGGATGAATGAGAATTCAACGTGTATTTTCGGGTTCTTGGAACTAGGTTTTTGGTGGGTTTCCTACACATTTGTGAAATGTGCTTGTCCTACATTAGAAAGGCTTGAGGTTTTGAATGGGTTTATATACCTTAGTTTGGGATACTTGGGATGGACCCCAAGGGGTACCCAAGTTTGTGGAAGAGTGAGATTATGAGTGAAGTGGGCTAGACCCATTGGACCCAAAATTAAAACCACACGCGCGCACCGCCGTCCATCCGGTCGGTCTGGCGAGTTGGGCTGGGCCTGGGCACGAGTGTGTGGTGTGAGGTTGAGTTGGGCTAGTCCGGCCCAATACTTATCTTTTTCGGCCAAAACTTTTGTAATTTATTTTTTATTTTTAATTTTGGTTTCAAAATTCAAAATAAATTGGTCCAGAATTTTTTCTTCACCCAAACAAGTCCTGAACAGGTTCAGAAGGGTCAAAAACAGGTTCACACCTATTGAATTCAACTGTTTATCTGTTCAAACAGATTGGTACTTGTTCAATCTATCTAAACAAGTTTTTCACCTGTTCGAACAGCCATCTTTCCTCTTATAAAAAGCCAGCCTTCCAGCAATTCAGAACATACATTTTTTCCCCTAGATTTTTGTCTCTCTTCTCCCCTTTCCGTCTTCCTATTTTCTGCATTTATTCTGCATTTAATTTAGGAAAAGAAAGAGAGAGTTTCAGGAAAGTTTTGGTTCGCCAAACTTGATTTTATAGTGTTGTAAAATCAAGTGTTAGTCATTGCATCCTGGGAAGTAGACGCCGGTAAAACTCAAAGCACCGGACCGAGGGCGAAATCTACTTTAAGGAGATTGTGTCCAACACAAGTCTCGACATTAATTTCTATATGCATTTAATAAAGGAAAATAATTTATATAATTATTTTCTGAATTATTTTATTTTATTGTTTATTTACTTTATACATTTAATTTACACACACACACACACCTTTGTAGGTACAACAAGAACAAGAGTAGCAAAATAACATTTAAGCAACTTGGGCTTATAAGCCTGGCCATGTATATGAGATTAGGCCTTATTGGGAAGTTGAAGTTTTTAGCCAAAAAGTAACTAAAAAGCCAAAATGCTAAAAAGTCATATAAAAAATGGATTATCTCTACTTTTTACATGTTTTTTTTGTAAAACAATAAAAAGTTATTTCCAAACACTTCATGTACTTTCATCTCATATTTTAGCCAAAATGCCACTAAGAAAACCACTTTCCAAACGAACTCTCCGTAGATATTGTTGTCTCGCTCTAATCCAATGATGTAGTTTTTAGTACTGCAATGTATGACTTTTGGTGATACTATCATGTAAACTTCTCTTCTTAGCACCACCAGAGTGTTTCACTATTCAACTTGAATTTTTTAGACTAAAAGAAGGCCGGAATCATTTAATTAAATGCCAACTACACTAATGCTTGATGTCTGATATGCAGGTCGGATTTTCGTCACCTACTCAGTCTGAAATCATGGAGGACCTTGGCCTCTCTTTGGCAGAGGTTAGTCTTATAATTGGATGTAAATGGTTATATAACTTGTGTGTTTCCATAGAATCATGATATACAATACTATTTGTTGATTTTTTTTTCCTGTATAAATTTTATGTTCCATTTTGTATATAATTTGGACCATAGATTCTCCACTTGTATCAGGATGTATAATTAACTTCCAAGGCTAGAAAATATTAGTTGTGGCTTGTTACAAATGTTTGGCTAATGCAATACAAACCAAAACTTATTATTATTAGGAATTAGTTACAAATTCGTAACTAGGATATTTTTGGCTATATATCGACTCTTCTCCATTTTGTTTTATATTCCCTCTTGGTGCCATTTTGCAGTATTCAGTTTTTGGTTCAATAATGACTGTTGGAGCAATGCTGGGTGCAGTAATGAGTGGGAAGCTTGCAGATCTCTTCGGCCGGAGGGGTGTAAGTTTTCCTATTACTTTGTGGAGTTTAATTATTGATAGACACGATAAAAAATTAATTTAATTAGTGTGCCAATTACTGAATTCTTGTTAATTTTGTTACTTCTCAAAAAAAAATATTGTTTATTTTGTTTGTTTTTATGTAGACATTGGGATTCTCAGACATATTCTGCATCATAGGGTGGCTTGCGATGGCGTTATCAGAGGTTTCTTGTCTCAGCTTTCTTTTGATTGGCTTATGTTTCATTTGATTACAATGAAGAAATTTTAATGCTTTAACTTTTTATATTTTGATCGACACATGGAATGGAGCATTAGGTTTGTAGAGGAAGCAACTTCACAAACAACGACATCATATTATACTTCATGAGACAGCTTCTATTAACTAGCTTCTATTTATTGGATGTCCCTGAAGTAACTGTTCACTGGCTTACATGCGAAGATGTTTGAAATAGGATATTGGCAATCTTTTTGGTCATTGTGCTTTTTTTTTTATGGTTTGTTCTTCTTTCTTGGGGCCATATGCTGCATTGGAGAAAATGCTTTTTCAGAGTTGCTTTTGTTGTATCTTTAACTGGAATTTAGGTTAAATGATCACACATATGTACATATCTAGGTAGTTGTACATTTATATTTTTTAGATTGTACACTATTAATTGTTCAATGATTGTCACAGCGTGCTTGGTGCCTTGACCTTGGAAGACTTTCTCTGGGATATGGAATTGGGCTTCTTTCATACGTGGTAATGCTCCAAGATTGCATTTCATATTTGACTACTTTTAAACATTTAGGCTATGTTTGTTTGGGGTGATTAGGTCATGGGATTGAATTATATATCCCGATAACAGCCCCCCAGGCTGTATATACACAAAATGGTGGGATTAAGGGAGATACTGATTAAGGGGTTAAAAGACCAAAATACCCTCAAACCATTGTTATTACACTATGTAGGCCATGTCACGTCTAGTGGCTTGGATATGATATATGTAATCCTAAACAATTGGTAATCACAAAACTATGAACTTTTTTTTTGTTGATAAATAACTATTAGTCCCATGACTAACAGTCCCATGTAATCCAATCAAACGAAACAAACATGACCTTAAGGTATTTGTATTCCCAATTCTAAACAGGTACCAGTATATATAGCAGAAATAACCCCAAGGGATATTCGAGGAACATTCACAACTGCCCATCAGGTAATTCATAACTCTTATAAATTTGGAGCTTAGTCTATATCCATGCCACGCACACATATATCTTTCTGATTCTACAGTTCCTGGATTCTTGTGGTGTATCAATAATGTATCTCATTGGAACCATCATCACCTGGCGCATCTTGGCTGCAATTGGTAACTTTGTTTTGCTTACTGTTTTCATTTATTGGAAGGTTGTTCAGTAGAATTGCTTCTAATTGATATCATTTCAGGAATTATTCCATGCTTAATTCAGTTTGTCGGTCTATTCTTTATTCCAGAGTCTCCAAGGTGGTTGGTGAGTTCATTTAAAATTTAGTCGGTAGTAGATGTTTTTGTGGTGGTTTTGTGCTAATTAAAATTTTGCATACTCCTGAATTCCTTTGTTGTTGCTTTCACATGACACCTTTAAATCAACAATGTGCTATAACCACATTTAAGAACTACAGTATTGCACTTTTCACCATGAGATCCTCTGATATTCATCGTTGTTAGAATTGTGCAATTCATGATTTGATTCGTACAATTCAACACGAGTTTCAACCAAAAGGATTTGAATCGTGTTGTTGATTGGAAATTTGAGTGGATTGTCCGATTCAATTTGCGATTCATTGAGATTCACTACAATTCACTGAGATTCATTTATGTTCTTGTTTTTTATTTGCATAATGTGTGAAATACTCTCTTTTTTTGTCTCCATCAAGAAATAAAAAGAGATAAATGTTATATAGAATAAAAGCATCCATTGACGTTCTCAATGATGGTATAACTCTCTGCAGGCAAAGAATTATCGATGGTCAGATTGTGAAGCTGCATTACAGCGCCTAAGGGGAGAGAGTGCAAATATTTCTGAAGAAGCTACTGAAATTAGAGTATCTTTTTGACCTCATAGGTTCATTCAAGTGTAAATTTTCTTTTTCCATTTGTTTGTCCTTTTTATTGGTAAAATGTCCATTGTCTAGTTTATTGAACTGAGTTTTAATTTATAATTCTTTTGTTTACTTTTCCGTAATGTTTTTGAAAAATATGACCTTGCTTTTAATGCTTTACAGGTTTATACAGAAAACCTTCAACAGTTCTCGGAAGCTAAAATATTTGATTTGTTTCAGCGGAAATATGCTCACTCCCTCATTGTGAGCCTTCTAAAAAACCTAGCCTGTGGCATGTCCCCTCTTTCATGACTTCAAAAATCATATTATGGGCTGCTCATTTTTATCTAGGTTGGAGTTGGACTAATGGCATTGCAACAATTTGGAGGGATCAATGGGATTGTATACTATGCGAGTGCTATTTTCGAATCAGCAGGTTAATAAAACTACTCAAGTAATAGTTCCTATCTAAAAAGTATGGACACTTTTAGGCCCCTTTTGTTTGGCGGATTATGTTGGATGGGATTACAAGTATAGTGGGATTGAATGAGTAGATTAGTAATATGGTGATATTAAGTTGGAAATGTAAGATAAATGTGTTTGTTTGTGAAGTAATGTGGTGGTATTAATTGATTGGGATTAAACCTATGAAATTCCATAATTACCCTTCTTCTATTATTGTAGACATATAGGCTAAGGGGTAAAATAGTCTTTTACCCATTAATCCCATAGGATTGCATCTCAATCCCATGTGTTTCCAAGCTTTGCTAATCCCCCTATAGTGTAGGTTTACTACTCCAAGAGGAATACTAATTCCCCCCACACATTTCCTAGCCAAACATGACATGAGTGGAGTCCACCTCACTCATACTCCAACCCCCCTTTCCAAACCTCTAATCAACCATGAGGTGGTGTGGCGTCTCAGACACTGACACGACATGATACTCAGACACTTCCCAACACCTACTGGACAGATGTCCAACAATTTTAAATTTTTTTCTTAAATATTCATATATATGACATATAATAATTTCCTATGCTTATACATGCCAGATAATAAATATAAAATTATATATTTTGTGTGTCCCTCGTGTCCTACTTTTTTGAAAATTTTCATGCCGGCATGTCTGTACTTCTGAAGTTATTATTAATGGGAAGGAAAAGTGAAGAGAACAAATGAGTGTCTGGTTTGATGTAGGTTTTTCAAGCAGAATTGGGACTATAGCGATGGTGGTTGTTCAGGTTTTTCGACTCTCTACCTGTGATTTTATTTGGCAATTCTTCTTTGCACATTCATGAGATATTGTAAATGTTCTTCAGGTTCCTGCGACGTTGATTGGTGCCCTCTTAATGGATAAATCTGGACGAAGACTGCTCCTAGTGGTATGAAGGGGAAGTTGCTTTTGTAAGTTTGAAAATTAAATTTTGTTGCATAAAATGCGCACATGAAATTCTACTTCCTTTACAGATTTCTGCAGGAGGAACGTGCTTGGGCTGCTTCCTCGTTGGATTGTCTTTCCTGTTGCAGGTTTCTTCTAGCACTAACCTAATTTTTTTGTTTTGCCTATCATTTTTAAATTAAGTATGGTCATTTCACTAAGAAGTAAACTCTTAAGAACAGGACCTTGAATTGTGGAAGGAGCTCACTCCAAGCTTGGCACTGGTTGGTGTACTGGTAATGCAATTTGATCCATTGGCAGTCATTTCTCTCTGTCATATATATATATATATTTTTCTAGATAAAAGTGTAGGAGGGGCCGAGGAGTGTGTGGCAACCCTCCTTGGGTGTGACCATAGGAGCCCAGGAGGGGCCTAGATGGGCCTGCAAAATGCGGGGGTCTGTTGGTGCTCCCTCAAAATGGGCTTGAGCCATACCGAGCCATAGTGGCAAGGAGGGCATGAGTCTTGTGCCACCACTGAGTAATGTTAAAATTCATCTACTCTCCACCTACTTCACCCACTTAAACCTACTCCACTAAACCTAACCCACTACACCACTACCACCTCACCTACTCCACTAAACCTAACCCACTACACCACTACCACCTCCACTTCACCTACTCCTTACCTACTACACACTCACCCTCTTCTATATATAGGAATCATGAATCATTGTAATAGATATCAATAAACATCAATCAATAATACATAAATTTTTACAAGTAATATAAAAAGAGCTGTTATTTGGACTTTTGAAGCATTTGGTGGTTGTTGTTGTCATCTAAATTCAATTTCTTTGCTGCTTCTCTATTGATCAAAAGTGGGTCTAAAGGAAGTACCCTACATTGTATGCCTACTGTAGTCTTTTCTTTCTATTGAATTCTCATACAATGGGGGCTTGATTAACGCATATTTGAAATGATCACTAGTATTACCTTTCTAAGAGTGTTCACAGATTGGATTGATTCGGTTTCAAAATAAGCCAGGGACCGAACTAGTCCTTAGGTTCTAGAAAAATTGGAACCGCAACGTAACTGTTGAGCCTATGTAATTGGGCACCGAACCATAGAAACTAGTTTGGTTTCGTTCGGTTCTTGAAATTTTATATAATAGGAGATAATGTATATATTTTATAATAGAAAACAAACTAACAATAACCAGTATAGTTGAGTTGGTTGATGCTTGCTAGCGTCTTTTTTCCTTTTCTTCAAAAACAGAAATATTTAAAAATAATAAACAAATAAATCATGGTTTGGTTTGGTTTGGTTTAGAACCATAGCTGAAGCCTTAAAACCGCGAATCGAACCATTTGAATGGTTCAACCATTTTTGAAAACAAAACTAGAACCAAAGCTACTAAAAATCTTACCAGACTGGTTGTTTGGACCATATTGGGTCGGTTTACCAGTTCCACTTGTGTTTTTTCAAACACGGCTATACCTTTCATTCTTAGAAGAGCATGATTGGTAGTACAAGCAATTGTTTTACCCAATGCTTTTGTATATTTCAGCTGAAATTGTTATAGTGAATCCTATATTTTGATGTGATTGAATCTTCAATCAGGTGTTTAAAGGATCTTTCTCACTGGGCATGGCGGGAATTCCATGGATTATAATGTCAGAGGTAAGTATTTGAGCTTCATTTGGTACACATCTTTATGCATTGCTAGCTTCTTTCTTTCTCTTCTTTTTGTTTTTTTTTTTTTTTTTTTAAAAGAAAAAACCAACATGTTTGGCACACTGCTGGCATTAAAATTTTCTAATATTTTTTTCAGGCAACCGTGTTTGGCAGCATTGCTAGTTTTTTTACTTTTTAATACAAAATGACAAATATGCCCTTGATAAGAATGGCATTTTCTCAATTGTTATGTGCAGAATGGTAATAACGGATACACCCCGTGGGCTGCACAAATTAAGAACCCCCCTCCCCCCTCCCCAAAAAAAATAAAATAAAATAAAATAAAATAAAATAAAAATAAAAATGGGGCATATTATCGACTTTTTTTGGTCCAAATGAAGCGGGTTTTGCTTTTTGGGCTAAAAAGGCTGAAAAACTGAGCTTATGGCGTCTTAATGAGGCTAATTAAGCTGAAATTTTGCATCATTGAATCTTAAAATTGAGATCCAAACAAACTGAAAATATATATATATTTTTTTTTAAATTGTTATTATATTTTGATTTCAGATATTTCCTATAAACGTGAAAGGTCTGGCTGGAAGCCTCATAACAGTAGTTAACTGGCTCGGCACTTGGATTGTTACATATGCCTTCAACTTCTTGATGAACTGCAGCTCAGAAGGTAAGAAGTCTAATTCATTTTCCTTCTCTCTCTCTCTCTCTCTCTCATTATATAGTCTGCTCTATAACATTTTTTTATTTTTTATTTTTTTTAGGAACATTTTTCGCATTCTCAGGCGTATGTGGTTTAACCGTTTGGTTTGTTGTGGAGCTGGTTCCAGAGACCAAAGGACTTACTCTGGAAGAAATTCAAACTGCTATGTATCCATCTACAACAAAAATATAGGCCTGGCTTGCTTGCTTATCCTGAGATTTCTAGAGTCCAAAGCAGATAATCAACCGATAAATTTCTGGGCCTTTTACATTTTTTTTTCATTAAATGAAAAAAAGGTTTGAAGGTAAAGACAATGGCCTTGTTTGGTTTGTGTTTCTCAAAAAATTTTGGAAAAAATTCTCTAAGTATCGCTTGATTATCGCTCTTCTTATATTTTTAGAAATAAATAAATCAATCATACTTGTGTAATTTAGTTTTTTTGCAAAATGATTTTCAATGGATAACAATGTTAATTATTTTAAATAGGCCTTTCAATTTTTTTAATGAGTCAATTTATTTTAAATTAGTTTAGGCCTTTCTTAGTTTTTTTTAAACTTAAAACATACTTAATATATTACACTAAATTATAATAAGGGGGTCTTTTTTTGGATCTATTGTCAATAGATAAAAATGTTAATTTTTTGAATGGGCCTTTCAAATTTTGAATGGATCAATTTATTTTAAGTTAGTTTGGATTTTTTTCATTTTTTTTTTAGATTTGAAACATATTTAATATATTACACTAAATTTTAATAGGAGGAAATTTTTTTTAAATCTAGTTTAAAAAATCTTAAGCCATGACTTGGTGGACTTATGCTCAGGCCGGCCTGCTTGCTTGGAAATGAAAATGATTGTTCTTACAACACTTCTATTGCAGGCAATTTTATATAGAATGTCCACAAGGGAAAGACACCCGTCAATAAAATTCAAGTAAACATTCCAAGTGTATATAATTAAATCCATACAAATTTCCATCTTAGATGTGAATATTGTGTAATTTGACAAAACTAAATTGGTTAATTATACTTTTCATTCCTGTAGTTTTGACTTAAGTTTCACTTTATTCTTTATAATTTCAATTTGAAGAATTTAGTTTTTACACTTTTAAGGCTAGTCACAATTTGGTCTTTACATTTAAGTTGGAGGTTAAAATTAGTAATTTTGAGACACTTGTTAATTTTCTAAAGTGTTTATAGATAAAATTTAGACAGAATGATCAAATTGAAATTAATTTATAGTATAAGAATTAAATTGTTTAAATTAAAAGTATAGGATTAAAGTGAAATTTGAATCAAAATTACAGGGACAAAAGTATAATTAAGCCAAACTAGTCAATGTCCGTTTGAGTTTTTGTTGGGCAAATTTTATTTATTTACTTGTTTATTTTATTCTTTTAAGTTTGTCTCAAGTCTTGATTAAACTATTCTAAATGAGAGGGTAATTTATAAGTAAATTGGGGCGAGCTGGGTAATGGGCCGTTCTGTGGACCACAGTAAGAAGGGCTAAGTAAAAGGGGCTTGTAGTTAGCTCGGTCCCAAAAGAGCCTTGCAGTTAGCTCAGTCACCCCGGTTGAAGTGGTAATTAGTTCAGCCCAGTGTTTTGGACCGAGGTATTATGGCTTCTTAAGGTTGACCTTGCTATGGTTAGCGCGGTCAGAACTTGCTGTATTTAGCTCGGTCTTTAACGGACACAACTGAGGTATTGGTGAACAAGGGCCGAGCTATGAGTTGCATGTGAAGGCACTGGTTTGAGTATGACAAAGAAGTATTGTTAGCTCGGTTGTTTTGTCATACTACCGAGGCAAAACCATCTCACTTGTTTTAAGCAGTGAGGGGGGTGTTGAAGGATAAGCATTATCTTTCTGAAGTGTGATTCATAGGAGGACTCTACATTGAGGAATAAAAGTCCTAGGATTGTGCTATGCGGAACCTATAAGAGCTCACAACATCACCTATGGAGAGGTAACACAATTTTGATTCTCGAATACACAGCACTTTTGCTTATTTGTTTATTTTGCTGACTTAGGTATCGGAGAGGTATCCGACATACACCCGCCAGCTAGCTCACGTTTGTGTTTTTAGGGAGTAAAGCGACGACGTTTGGAGGAGCGCAGACTTGGTCAACAAGATTATACGAGAACATTATTTCGTGCTCGTACAATTAGCGCCATCTGTGGGAATTCTAGAAAAAACAAAATCTCTTGATCACGTTTTTCCTCTCTAATTGGAAGCAATGGCGCGCAACGAAGATTTGCCGCAATCTGCTATCGACGAACAAACCCCTGAGGGAGATGGGAGGCGCGAAGGTTTACCTCCTATCCCTCCCATGGTTGATTTAGAACCCCAGCGACAGAACCCCCGGAGGGATGCAAGAGGGAGGCGTGCTAACAGCCCCCGTCGCTCTCAAAGTCCTAAAAGACAGAGGCGAAGGATCGACCCTCAAGTCCTGGAGGATTGCGTGAAGGAGCAGGACGAGTTGATAAGAAAGATGGCGGCAGACATGAAGTCAATGAAGTGCCAGATAAAAGGAAAAGGGGTGGCAACAGCAGAGGAGCGCAAAGACAACACATCCCCTCGCTACTCAGAAGATCGTGGTAGGCGCACTACACCATCACAAGCAGAAAGTAGGAGCCTTAGAACAGGCGACACGCAATCAAGGACTTCCAGGACTCGTTACTCCAGGTCTGAGAGGATGAGAACTGAGAGGTCATATACTGAGGGAAGCACCTATCGGCCTTCGCACACGCACCAGACGTCATCTAGGCACACGGAGTTGCCTAGATCATCTGACTTGCGAACTGTGCTTGAAGAAAGAGCACGATGGAAGGAAGATACCAGGGCAAGCGACCCGCGTAGAGTTTTAGCCCTTCAACTGTTGGCCCCTCGAACGCATGGGAGCGTCGAGGTAGGAATGCCAATACCCCACCTTGCTTACGAACCAACGGACAAAGCATTAGCAAGGTTGCAGAGCTCGCCGTTCGTTCCGGCAATTGAAAACACACCACTACCCTCGGGCTTTCTCCAGCCCAAATTCACTATTTACGAAGGGAAGACAGATCCCTACATGCACCTAAGCCACTTTCGCCAGGTTATGGCAGTATACCAGCGGAACGAGGCCTTAATGTGTATCATGTTCCCATCCAGCCTGGGCGACGTAGGTTTAACCTGGTTCGAAAGGCTACCAGAAGGCAGCATCGCCTCATGGGCGCAGTTGGCAGAGGCGTTCATAACTAGATTCAAGACAAACACCAAAATACCAGTGGAGATCGATCAGTTACTCTCCATTGACATGGGCGAAAAGAAGATGCTTAGGTCTTATAACAATCGCTACTGGGAAACCTTCAACCAGATTGGGGATTGCCCTACGAACCTCGCCATTGCACAATACAAACGGGGCCTGCCAGTCGGCAACAAATTGAGGGACTCGATCACTATGACTTCCCCTCTCACGATAGAGGCCTTAATGAAGAGAGTACATCAACATATTCGCGTGGAGGAAGATGGCACCCGTGCTAAAAACAAATCTGGCACAGCAGCAATACCAGATAAAAAGACCACTGTAAAAGTTAATGGTAGAACGACCAAGCAGGAATGGGCGAGGTAGGCGGGCCAACAGAGAGGACCCAGTCAAAAGGTGGTTAAGAGTTCGCATCGCCATTACCGCGGTGTTTAAAAAACCAATCTACCAAATTCTCAGTGAAATACGCGACGAACCTTTCGTCCGATGGCCAGCAAAGTTGGGAGAAGCATAGAAGGACTATGATGAGAGGTCCCGGTGCACCTTTCATGATGAAAAGGGGCACCGCACTGAAAATTGCACATTGTTGAGGCAACATTTGAAGCAGTTAGTGGCAGCAGGGCACGTGGACCAATACATAAAAAGAGGGACACAGCCAGCCCCCCAGAACCACAACAACCCAAACGGAATGCTGGTCGACGCCCCACCTCAAGGCGTAATTAACGCGATACATGGAGTATATAAACCTGAGCAGGTTTGCGAGCTCAAGGGAATGATCAAAAAGGCTGAGCACTTAAGGGAGGTATTAAGTGCACAGCCTGCCATCAAAAAAGGGAGAACAGAGGCCACAAATGTCATATCTTTTTCAGATAGAGACCTGGCAAGGATATATTGCCCTCACAATGATGCACAGGTTGTTACTCTACGCGTCAAGGATTTCGACATCAAGCGGATTTTGATCAACCAAGGAAGCTCGTGTGAGATAATGTATTACGAAACCTTCAAACAACTGAAACTGGAAGACAAAGACTTGGCACCAGCAACATCTCCCCTAATCGGTTTCAACTCAATGCCAGAATGGCCAGTGGGCAAGATAATCCTCCCAGTCAAGGCAAGAACCATGACGAAACAGGTGAAATTCTGGGTGTTGAAAGTCCCTTCCACTTACAACATAATCTTAGGGAGGACATGACTATACACCATGCGATCGGTAGCCTCAACCTACTATCAAGTATTGCGATTCCCTAACGAAGTCAGAGTAATCGAAGAGGTCTTTGGAGACCAGATTATGTCAAAATAGTGCTTTGTCACAGTAAATGGCAGCCGCGCTGCAAAAGGATATGTACAGATGGTGGAAGAACTTGAGAGCAATGAACTGTTTGCGGACGTTGGTAAGGCAGCTGAACAGAAAGCGGTAGAAGACTTGGTATAGGTAAGGATAGATGAAAAAGACCCAGCAAAGTTCTTTTTGCTTGGCTCGTCTTTGTCCAGCACTGAGAGGATAGAGGTCATGGAATTCTTAACCTCTAACATCGAAGTGTTTGCCTGGACACCGTATGACATGCCTGGCATAGACCCAAACTTCATCTGTCACCAACTGAACGTTCACCCGACTGCCAGACCAATTATACAGCGCACTTGCAGATCAGCACTCCACCATGCCGAGATAGTGGCGGAAAAAGTATGAAACTTGCTGGAGGCAGGGGCTATCAAAGAGGTGCACTATCCCAGGTGGATCTCCAACACTGTCGTTGTGCCAAAGAAGAATGGAAAATGGCGTGTCTGCGTGAACTACAAAACAGTCAACAAGGCATGCCCAAAGGACAGCTTTCCCCTACCATGGATAGACCAACTGGTAAACCTGACGGCAGGACATAATCGACTTAGCTTCCTTAATGCGTATAGAGGTTACCATCAGATCGCTATGTATGAGCCAGACCAGGAGGTCACATCCTTTACAACGCCTATAGGATTGTATTGTTACAAGGTCATGCCCTTTGGCCTAAAGAATGCAGGGGCAACATTCTAACGGATGATCACCAAGATGTTTGAGCCATTGTTAGGCAGAACAATGGAGGCTTACATAGACGACATGGTGGTCAAGAGCAAGGATAAGAAGAACCATCTCAATGACCTAGATGAGATGTTCCAAATTCTGAAGAAGAACAAGTTGCGCTTAAATGCATCCAAGTGTACATTCGGCGTAGGATCAGGCAAATTCCTAGACTTTTTGGTGACCAACCGAGGTATAGAAGCAGACCCCTCTCAGATCAAAGCAATCCAGGATCTTGAGAGGCCCAACACAGTCAAGGAAATGCAGCATCTCACTGGCCTAGCTATCGCACTCAACCGGTTCATAAGTCAGTCGTCAAACAGATGTCGACCATTCTTCCAAGCACTAAAGGCCAAGTTTGAGTAGGATGAAGAATGCGACCGCACCCTAGAAAGCCTGAAAGAATACATGTCTTCTCCACCGTTGCTAGTAATCCCAATACCTGGAGAAGAGCTCTTTTTGTACCTGACAGTTTCACAGCACGCAGTCAGCGCGGTGTTGGTCAGAGCGGAAGGAATCCAACACTTGCCCATCTTTTATGTCAGCAAGACCTTACTGGGCGCAGAAACCAGGTACTTACCTTTAGAAAAACTGGCCTTAGCCCTGATGATGGCCTCTAGGAAATTGTCGTATTACTTCCACGCCAACACCATAATCGTCCTAACAACTTTCCCATTAAAAGCTTTGTTTGAGAGGGTGAACTTTTTTGGGTGAATCTTGAAGTGGGCGGTAGAATTAGGACAATATGATATCAAGTTTCAACCCAGAACCGCAATAAAAACTCAAGCTTTGGCAGACTTTGTGGCAGAGTTCACGCCAGGAAGCCATCACATCTGCCCAGTTGACTTGACTGGTACAATCGAAATGGGGACGGAAAGTGCTACAGGAAATGCACAACCCCTAATGCAGGATACTCAGCCACATCCCAAGGCATATCGGATTGAGGAAAGTGCAGAAGAGGCAAACCATGTTGCACCAAGCAAAGACTCATCAGCAAACAAAAACTTGGTATAGTCAGATAATGAGAGGCAAACAGTAGGTGTGGACTTGGAAGAAAACATCAGCAACACTCACGACCCAAAAACATCATCCGACCCCTCAACTTGTTGGAAGCTATTCATTGGAGAGATGTGGAAGCTCTTCTTGGATGGAGCATCTAACAGGCACGGTGTAGGACTTGGCATAGTCCTCATCTCACCAGATGGCCTAGTAGTGGAACAAGCAGTCAACCTAGGATTCCCAGCATCAAACAACGAGGCGAAGTATGAAGTGCTCTTAGCAGGCCTAAAATCAGCTCTCTTCATGAAGGCCACCGAGCTAATGGTTTACAGTGACTCCCAGCTAGTAGTAAACCAGATTTCAGGCGACTACGAGGCAAAAGATGAGAAGATGGCTAAGTACCAAGAGTTAGTCAGAAAGGAGATCATGAAGTTCGAGGTAATACGGATAAAGCAGATCGGCCGTGAAGAGAACAGTAGACCAGATGAGCTAGCAGGCTTCGCTTCGATGGCAGATACATCCATCCCACACCTATTATTAATCGACTTCCTACCAAGACCAAGCATTGAAGAACCCGAAGCAACAAAGGTATGTTGTGCCGAACTAGGCCCTTCATGGATGGATCCCATTATAGTGTTCTTAAAGGACGACATCTTACCCGAAGAGAAGAAAAAGGCCAACAAAATAAGAGCAAAATCACAGCGATTCTGGCTCTCCCCATCAATGGCCTTGTACAAAAAATCCTTCACAGGACCCTACTTGAAATGTGTTCATCCCAGCAAGATCGAAGCATTTTGTTCAAGACACACGAAAGCGTATGCGGAAGCCACCAAGGAGGAAAATCATTGGTGTACAGAGCAATTTCGCAAGGATATTGGTGGCCATACATACAAGCAGATTCAGAGAAGTATGTCAAGAAGTGCGAGAAATATCAGAAGTTCGCACACCAAATACATCAGCCAGCTAGAGAACTCCTACCATTAACTAGCTCGTGACCCTTCGCAATGTGGGGCTTGGACATAGTAGGACCACTTCCAACGGCACCCGACAACAGGAAGTTCTTTCTTGCAACAACAAACTACTTTACGAAGTGGGTAGAAACAGAAGCACTCGCCTCAATTAAAGAGAAAGATGTGAAGAAGTTCATTTGGCAGAATATTATCACTCGGTTCGTTCAGCATACCAAAAGCTCTAATATCTGACAATGGCACTCAGTTCGACGACAAAATTTTTAGAAGCTTTTGTAAAGAATACAAGATAGAATTTTACAACTCTACACCGGCATACCCCCAAGCAAATGGCCAGGCGGAAGCATCAAACAAAGTTGTCTTGGATGGATTGAAGAAAAGGTTAGAAAAAACAAAAGGAAAGTGGGCTGAAGAGCTTCCTCATGTTTTATGGACTTACCGTACCACACCTTGACAATCAACTGGAGAAACACCATTCTCTTTAGCCTACGACATGGAGGCAGTAATCCCACTAGAAGTCGGCCTCCCCACAATTAGAAGTGAAAATTTTGACCTAGAGTTAAATGGAGAAGCCATAGCCTTGGAAATCGACCTTGCGGAAGAAAGAAGTGAAAGAGCACTGGTTCACATCGCCTCATACCAGCAAGAGTTATCCAGAAAATATAACAAAACAGTATATCCAAGGCAATTCAAGATTGGAGATTGGGTGCTGCGCAAAGTAATGGGAAATACTCTAGTACCCGGAGACGGCAAGTTAGGGCCTAATTGGGAAGGACCATACAAAGTGGTTGGATTAGCAGGAAAGGGGCATACCACTTGCAGGATGGAGACGGCAAGGCCATTCCCAGGCCATGGAACACTGTCAATCTCAAACTATTTTATTTTTAGCTTTTCTTTAAAGTACTTGTAATTTTTCATTTTTCAATAAAACAAGTAGTTTCTTTTCTGTATAATTGTTTTCCTTTGTAAAAGTTGTTTTAGTAAGCTAGGGGCATTGAAAGCAGAGTTGGCCAGAATAACCAACTTTGAGCTCTCTTCAGCTAAGGTTAGGATCTAAGCTGAAGAGGTTGGCTGGAAAAACCAACACTTCTCCTAAGCCAAGAAAAGAATCTAGGCTGCAGGACGTTTGGCAGGAATAACCAAACACTTCGCTCTAAGTTGGCAGGAATAACCAACTTTGAGCTCTCTTCAGCTAAGATTAGGATCTAGGCTGAAGAGGTTGGCTGGAAAAACCAACACTTCTCCTAAGCCAAGATAAGGATCTAGGCTACAGGACGTTTGGTAGGGATAACCAAACACTTCGCCCTAAGTTGGCAAGAATAACCAATTTTGAGCTCTCTTCAGCTAAGATTAGGATCTAGGCTGAAGAGGTTGGCTGGAAAAACCAACACTTCTCCTAAGCCAAGATAAGGATCTAGGCTGCAGGACGTTTGGAAAGAATAACCGAACACTTCGCTCTAAGTTGGCAGGAATAACCAACTTTGAGCTTTCTTTAGCTAAGATTAGGATCTAGGTTGAAGAGGTTGGCTGGAAAAACCAACACTTACTTTTACCTAAGCCGAGATAAGGATCTAGGCTGCAGGAAGTTGGCAGGTATGACTAACACTTTCTTCTCTTCAGCCGAGATAAGGATCTAGGCCGAAGAGTGGTTGGCTTAAATAAACCAACTTTAAGTACTCTTCAGCTGAGATAAGAATCTAGGCTGAAGAGTGGTTGGTTGGAATAACCAACTTTTAGTACTCTTCAGCTGAGATAGGGATCTAAGCTAAAGAGTGGTTGGCAGATATGGCCAAACAGCTTTCAAGGTTAAGACCGAGGTACATATCTCGGCCAGGAAATGTTACACTACATACAATTACAGTTGAAAAATAAAGTGCAAGAATGGAACAGACCGAACAAAAAGAATACGATTTTCATTCAAAAGCAGAAGTACAAAAGGTGGGACCTCAGCCTGGTTACAAGTTTTTTTGTGAAAAAAAAGAAAAGAAAAGAAAACTCAGGAGAAAAGGTCCTCCAAGTCGGCGTCCAAATCAACCCGGGCTTCACCCAGAGGTAGCTCGGTCGAGACAAGCACACCTTGGTTTAGCTCGGTCGTAGGCACCGCGGTAGTCACAACAGTTGAATGTGGGACAAAGACCACTGGAGTGGGAGAGATGGATTGACGACCGAACTGGGCATTGGCCTTAAGAGCAGAATCCTCGTCATCCTCCCCTTCTTGAAGAAATTTTTGTTGAATGGTGTTGGCGTATTCTACCATGTAGCTGGGAATAAAATGGGGAGGAGGGCTTTGAAAAACCTGGGTTTCCTGACCATAACCGAGCTGCGCCACGGCTGCTTTCCACCCACACTTAAAAAATATATCCTTAGCAGCCTCACACTGCTAGATATATGTGGCTTCACCCTCCTTGTAACCGCGGTCTTCTGCATCTTCTATCTTTTTCTCCAGTTTGGTTATTCGTCATTTTTCTTTCTCTCGAGCTTGGCCAGCTCGCGCAGATATTTGTTTTTTAGCTCGGCCGCAGCCTTTTGCTTGTCTGCTTCAGCCGAGTTGACGAGACTGGTCAGACGGGTTACTTCGGTGCGTAGCTCGGTCATTTTTTGCTGGGACTCTTTTAGCTCGGCCGTCTTTGCGTCGGCCTCTGCCATGGCCTGCCGTGTGGTTTTTCGAAGTTCCAACGCGCGCTTGTGAGCAACATGGTTCTTCTGTAGGACCTGCAAAAGGAGAGAAACAATTTTGAGCAAAACTGAGCAAACAGATGTATAAATTAGGACAGGAAAAGGGAGAACTTACTAACACCATTGATTTTGTTACCGAGCGAATGGCCTTCAGCTCGGTGAGATGGTTATGATGCTCCATATCAGCTGGAAGACATACACTCTTGGCAAGGTTAAAAGCCAACGAATGGTCTTTTTCAGCGACCACTGAGTCAGAGTCAGTGATAGGTCGGTTCTTGTAGGTGACCTTGGGCACCCATTCTGATGGGCTAGCCCGGTCTGATCGCTAAGGTTGTGGGCTCGGTGGTGTGGTTTGGGGAAGAACAGTTTCATCCTCATCAACAAGGCGTGGCTCGGTTGTGGAAGTCCGAGCACGCTTGTTGGGCCAAGATGATGACGGCTGGGCGGTTGGAAGGGCTACCACGGCCTCTTGTGTTTGGCCGGTTTGTGGTACCTCGACCTGATTTGTTTCGGTAATGAGGACCCTAACAGCTCTCTTTTTGGCCATCTCTTGTTCTGCAGTTAATGGAATCAAATTGATTTGAGGAAGTGTTGGATTTGGTTCTAGTGAGGGTTCCAAGAGGAAGTTTGTCACCCTGGTCTTCCTCCTGCTGCTATATTTGTAGGTTGGTTCGAAATTAAGTAGCTCGACCTAACTTCGATTGGGACATCTTAGTACGACGCGGAGTACGTCAAGGTTGGGATAACTGTACTGCGACTTTAGATGGTCCAAGTTTGCATAAAAGAAGACAACGGTTAGCACGGTTGAAAACGAGGATAACGAAGTAAAGAAAGCACAAAATTGAGCCGAGGTATTTATACCAGCTACTCCTTTATTCCAGTTGATTCGGTCTCCTGGTATTTGGGCTTCTTGGTCTTCGAAGTTGCCCGAGACCCAGAAAAAATCGTCATCATTTACATCTTTGTCCGGGGTATTTTTTATTATTTTCTCTCGGCGGCGTCTTATTCTTAAATAATAAACCCAACCATCTTCGTTCTGGCCTAGAGAGTATTGGTGGAATAGCTCGGCTAAACCGAGGTTCAGGCCAAGCCGACAGTTTAGCTCGGCGATGCCGTTATTATTCGGTATGAGTTTGTGGAAAGTTGAGTAGGGCAGATATTTGTTTGTCTGAGGAATTCGCAAAGAAGAGGTTGAACGGGAAAACGAAGACTGGCCTCTACGATGGAAATAACGTTGAAAGACACAAAGCCCGGTTTTTCCCAAGGAATGGTGTCTAGTTCGGCTAGTGAGAGGTGGACGTCGTCTGGAATTTGGTAATCCCTTCGGAACTCGACTATGGCTGTGACAACCCTCACCACTGATTAGTGCTAATCCATGATTAAGCATGTTAACTGACTGATTGGCTAAAATCCTGAACTGATTGATTGAACGTATTAGTTTGAATGCATTTCTATCTGTTTGTCAGTGAACTATATGTTCGTGTTTTATGTTGAAACTGCTAATTGAAGGCCTTATCGGCGGCCGAATTTGAAATTGACTAATGTTTTATGCTCGTTAGAATTTATGTAATTTTATGGTATATTTAATTGAAATGTGATTGGGTATGATTAAATTAGATTTAATAATGGTAAATTTAAAAGAGTTGGACTTATTTACAGGAGTGCCACTTAGTGGACTATTCCATGAGCCATTTGTTTGATTTCCTTATGTTAGCTTTATCACTTCATCAACCATTTTGAGAGCTACAAACCGACTAAGAGAGAGAGAGAGAGAGAGAGAGAGAAATTGAGTTCATCTAAAATTCTTGCTTGAAATTAGAAGAAATTGAAGGTTTATTTGCATAATTGAGCCTCTACACTTGCAATCCAAGACCTAAGGTAGAGAATTTACCTTCTTGTTCATAGTTTGAATTACTTCTTGCATGGTCCATGTTAATTTTGAAGTCTAGAGCCAAAATATGGCTTAAATTGTTGAAATGAGTAAGATTTTTTGCATGCATGGTCCTATTGTTGAGTTTTGAATTGTTTTCATGGAAATTGCTACATGCATGTTCATATTTTTGGTCTTGATCCATGGATTCACCATGTTTTTGCAAGAATTGGCTCTTTGGAGCATGTTTTAGAAGCTTTGAATTCATTAGAACTCATGCATGTATAAGTTTTGCATCAATCTTCATGTTATTGGATTTTGGGTTGGAATTGTGTTTAATTGAACTACCTTTGGGCTTTGATTTCTCAAATTGACCTTTGAAACATGTAATATTATGGGTTTTGAAGTGTTTTTCAGAAAATTAGCCCAAGAGGATCGATTTTAGTGCATTAAAATTGAGTTTTGCGCTTGAGGTTCAAATCTGGAATTTCCAGATTTTGGACTCACGCTCGAGCGGGGGATTCCATACTTGAGCGTACCTACTGAATTCATGCAGTCCGTTCGAGCGGGGAAAGTGACGCTCGAGTGTGAAATGCGTGTATCCAGTACTTTGCATGTTTTTACAGTCCGCTCAAGCGGGGGAATGCACGCTCGAGCGAGGACTTGTGTCTCATGCTCGAGCGGGGGTCGAGCGCCTGTCGAGCGTGAATTTCGTGCATCCAGTACTTTTGCCATGTTTTACAGTCCGCTCGAGCGGGTAAAGTGACGCTCGAGCGGGGAACCTTTGTCTGCATGTCCGCTCGAGTGGGGCAAGCCACGCTCGAGTGTGGACCCTGTTTTCTAAAAATTCTGAAAAAATATTTTAAAGTGCATCTTTGCATTCTCATTCCCATCCTAGGCATTCCTAGGCCTAGTTTAAGGTATCTTAATGAGGATATTGATATAGAACCACACCGACTCAAGATAGGGATTAAGTTATTATTTTCCAACTATGTAGCTTAGTGTGTGTTCACTCTGTAACTGTGTAGGGTTGGCATCCGAGGACGCGTACTAGCTTATCTATAGCCCAGAACTCTGTGAGTAACAATGTTGTAAAGATATGTTCAATTGAGATTATTTTCTAAACAATGACTGTACTGCTTTATGAAATGACACTGTTTACTGAATGAATGTTTGTCCTATTTGTGAACTGTATTCGTGGCATCCATAGTAATTTACTGTTACTGCTACTGTTACAGAGATCTCTGTCGGTTCCCATGTTTGGAACCATTACTGATGGCCATCATTGACTGCTCGGTCTGTTAAGACCTACTGTACTATTTTGCTATCGGATGTACCACATATGACTATTATGTTTTCTGAATGACTGTTATGGCATGAATTATGAGCCACAAACTGAACGACTGATATACTGATAAATGGCTGTTTTCAATACTGAAGGGACATTCATTCTTAACCTCTTTACGCGTATGTTATTCACTGGGCTTTAGCTCACTGCTTATATATATATATATATATATATGTAGGTGTATAGGCACCAGACCGTTGCTAGGAGCGTCGGGCTAAGCTCCCGTTTTGTCAAAGCCAACCACCGTGCCTCACTGCGAGATTCCAAGTCCTTCAAGCTAAGGCTTTTTGGGGTGTTTTAGTTTTTCCCCTTTTTGTATCTGATTTTGTAACACTGTATAGACTGATATGTGTACCCGTATTGTACTGTTATGGTAGGGATTTGGTTCCTAACCTGAACGCCTGTAAATGATGTATGTATGTATGTATGTATATACTGTTTTGTTTCTGTATGTAAATATATATGAAAAATCTTTTTGCATACAGACTGTCACAACTCATTGGACATCTTTTAATTACTGTTTTGGCTTCCGCCAGCCCCTGTACTCTGTATTACTGTTATTACTGTTAAGCAGACCGTCGGTAATCTCGGATTACTGGCCGGTTACGGTGCTAAACCCATAGGGGCGGGTTTGGGTCGTGACAATGGCTCTTGCAGAGTTCACTAAAAATCGATACTTCCCCCATGTGACCTTAAACTACGTATAATTTAAGTCGGCGTTGAGATGACCTGCAGTATCTCGGTTGAGCGTGCAAAGGTGTGCCTGGCCAACCTAATTCAGTCTGTAAAATGAAAAGGAAAAGTTTTAAGCACAGATCGTTGGACCGTGCTAGAAGTAACAAAGGTAAAATAAATGGAGTCCTAGCTCTGCTGCGTGGGATATTATCCGTTCTTAGCCCGGTTGGAGCAGAAGACTTTAGCTCGACTAAGTGGAACGAGAAGTTCGTAGCCCGGTTGAAGCTTATGGTATAGCATTCTTAGTTCGGTTTTGACTAAGTCAGGGAGCTGGTTTGGCCCCAAGTTATAGCTCGGTCGGTGTTTGAGGCTTTCTAGTGCGGTATTGCGCAAACCTAATACAGTTCGCTAGCTCGGCTAAGTGAAACAGAAGGTACTTAGACCTATTTGAAACTACAGGTATGGCATGAAGTCCTAGTTCGGTTGTTCAGTTTTGCTAAGTTCGTACCTAATACAAACAACTGCCTAGTTCGGTTGAAGTGTGATTTTGGATCAAACCATCGTTCTTCAGATTATTCGTAAATACAGTGGTTCTATTACCTGGTTTTTCCCAGAAAGATGGAAGCAAAAATGGTATATGTATTTTGAAAAAGGTTCGTTTCTTGGTGGTTTTTTGGTTCTTAGAGTTTTTTTCCCCTCTGACGTTCGTCCAGGTTTGCTGATGTTACTCTCTGTTTTTTATGTTTCTGATGGATTTTCTGATGGTGTTTGGGGGTGTTTTGTTGGAGTGTTGTATGTACGATGTTTGTTTGTCGTTTAATGTTGTGTAATATGCTTCATTATTGTTGTTTCGCGCATTCCCGTTTCCGCGTTTTGTGTAACGGTGTTTCGATTTTTTTTGGGGGGGTATTTGCAGGGGATTTGTTTTATTGTGCAGTGTATTTTCGGTTTGGAATTATTGATGGCATGTATGGAGGGTGTGTCCGTGGGGGTGTGTTATTGTAACTTCCATTCATCAAGTAGAACAGTTCGGTTTGGTGTATTTGGGGGAACTGTTGTTTTCGTAATGTATGTTTTGATGTTGGTTTGTGGGTCACATGTTTGGCCGATGTTGCGATCGCGTGTGTGTTTTTCAGAATTTCCGTCGTCATGTTAATCTTGTTTTTGTTAATTTTATTAGCATACACTTATGCAGTTTTACAACATATGACTGTTCAATTTGTTGCATCAAACCCATGCCGGTACGGAGCAGAAGTTTTTTTGCTTCGTAGTGGTCTGTGATGTTACACCCGCGTGTGTGTTTGTGGGAATTTTCATCGTATTGTTATTCTTGGCGCTAGCATACACTTATGCAGTGTTACAACATATGTCTGTGGAATTTGTTGCAACAAATCCATGCCGATACGGAGCAGAAGTTATTTTGCTTCGTAGTGAACTGTGATGTATCTGTTATATTTGTCTACGTGGGTACATACATATTCAATTTTGTACGTTCAAATTCATTTGCGGGTTTTGCTACTTTTCGTATTTGTTACCAATTTTAGGTTGCCGGTATTTAGGTTCTTAATTTCCAAAAGTTAATGTGATAATTTGTTAAGTTTATGGTTGAGTTAGAATTGATGAAGTAGCGAAGAAGGTTGTTTTCTGGGTGGTGGGCTGTTATTGTCAATGGGGGGGTGGTACGTTAATGTGAATGTGTGTTTAATTTTTTCTTGGTGTAATGTGTATGTTGTTGCAGGTGGTTTTTCATATTTATGGAGTTTGCAGTGTTGTTGTTATGTACGTTCGGTCAGACCAACGCTGTGTTACGCATTCATCAAGCATTCACTTTCAAACAATTAATTGATGTTGTTTGTGACAAGTTTGATATCATGGAGCGGGAATTGGTTTGTTTATTGTTTTCTATTCCAGGATATAATAAGTTTAAGGTTGACTCTGACGATGATTTTCAAAACATGTTTTTACTTGCAAAGTCTTTCGGGCTTCAACATATTGACGTGATAATTCAAGTTCGGGATAATGGTTCTGCTACTCAACGTGGTCTTCCAGTGTCACATGATGATGGGGAGTGTGAGACCGTGGATATGCGGACGGCCGATATGGAAGACCGAACGGATTTGTTGGCGACATATTGTCCTCATCGAACGAAGACGTATTTGTCTGCTGGGTGGGCATTCGGCATCACGCATGTCGGCCAAATTTTCCCAGGTGGTGCACATGAATTCCGAACCGTATTGTGCAAGTACGCAGTGGAATGTGGGTTTCAGTTCAAGTATGTCAAAAACGACGCCATACGTGTTACTGCAATATGCAAATTTGTAACGTCAACTGCGTGCGAGTGGTTGGTTCACGCACGGGTGTCTCCTTCGAATGGTGTTATGTGTTTGAAGAGATTTATTAGTGTACATTCCTGTGGGGCTGCTGTACGAACATACCGTAATCCACGAACTGGGTCAGATTTGGTGTCCGATGTGATCGCAGGACGTGTGCGTGAACAACCACTAACACGGCCGACGGATGTGGTATTTGACATGAAGGATGGTTATGGTCTGGATATTAGTTATCGGGTTGCATGGTTAGGGGTGGAAAAAGCAAGGAACGAAGTATTTGGCGATCACGCTATGTCGTTCGACCAACTTAGGTGGTACAGCGACGCTGTTATGGAAAACAACCCACATAGCTACATTAATTTGGATTTTGATCAGCAAACAGGGAGGTTTGTGAGGTATTTCATAGCTTTCCGTGCATGCATAGACGGGTTCAATGGTTGCCGTCCACTTCTATTTTTGGATGGTACATTTTTGAAGGGAAGGTTCAAAGGGACGTTGCTCGCTGCCACCGCCAAGGATGGAAACCAAGGTATGGATGACAATTTTGTAATGGTTATTGGAACTATCTTCCGAACTATGTTACACAATGCTCTGTCACCATACCATGTTACTTACGGTTTTACATATTGTATAATTTTATATTGCATTATGTAGCAACAACTTGACTTACGTAGGATGTACTCACATGATGTTATGCAGGTTTATTCCCCCTCGCGTTTGCTATTGTCGATTCTGAAAACTCATCAAATTGGGAATGGTTTTTGCGTCATTTGGCCCAAGTTGTAGACGGAGGTCGGAATTTAACTTTTGTGTCTGACCGTAATTTGGGTTTAATACAATCAATGCCCGTTGTCTTCCCCGCGGCGCACCATGCATTTTGTTTGTTACATCTTCAGATGAATCTTCGTGACCGGATGAAATATGTTAACGCTGATCAGAAAGTTGGCCTAATGAGGAAGTTACGAGACTGTGCTTATGCACCTACAGTAACATCATTCAATCACAAAGTTGAAATTTTAAAAGAATGCAGCCCAGTAGTGGTTGGTAATTTCTTGAAAGACGTGCATCCCCAACATTGGGCCAACGCGTACTTTAGGTATTTTTATATTTACATATTCGTGTCTCCCCCCTAGTCTGTGTATAACTTATTGAAGGGCATGTACATCAGTAATTGTTTACCTTGTACAGGGGTCGCCGATACGGTGAGATGTGGTCTAACGCCGCAGAGTCGTTCAACAACTGGATTCGGGAAGCTCGCCACCTGCCCATTACTCAATTAGTGGATGCAATACGGGGAAAGATCATGGAAAAAATGTCAAAGCGTAAAGTAAAAGCTAGCAACTGGGTTGGAGAACTTTGTCCGAAAATGGAAAAGCGTTTGATGTCTGAGTTTCAAGATAGCAGGCACTGGATTGTTAGTCAGTCGGATGATAACATTTTTGAGGTTCGGTCCCAGCCATCAGTGTTAGTTGACCTTGCCAATCGTTCTTGTTCTTGTTTTCAATGGCAACTAAATGGTTTCCCATGTCCCCACGCAATTGTTGCTTTTCGGAATACGGGTAAGAATGTCTACGATTACATTGAACCGTTTTTCCATGCGGTGAAGTATCGGGAAGCATATGAAGGGTCGATTCACCCAATTCCCACCGTGGCCAAACCCAATTTCACACCATCAGATTATCTCATTGCACCACCCGTTTACAAACGTCCTCCTGGAAGGCCCAAGCGGAAAATAATTCCATCAAAGGGCGAGGTTGTTCAACACATTAGGTGTGGTCGATGTCGCAAAATGGGCCATCATAACAGGAAAACATGCAAAGAAGCCATGTAGCACGCTTCTTGTCCACTTTATGTTATTTGAGAACGTTGATGAAATATTTGGTTACCGTATTACTCTACAATAATGGAAGCTTATCCACAGTTCAATTATTTTTTACATTTACCTCATCTTACTATAACACTACTGTAGTGACTTGTTATAATAAGGTTAATAGTTAATTAACCTGTTCTTCTGGCCAAAAAAATGTCTCTCAGAATGTTCCATTTGTGTTGAGTCATGAAAATTTTCAATGCCACTTAGAGTAAACCCATTCATCAGATTTACCCACTTCGAATTTTATTAAGTGACTTACTTTGACGTCAACGTTTGACACCAAATATTCCTATCAGAAATTACATGTCGTACATGTGTGACAATTACATCGACCATGTGCGCGAAGAAAGTCAATGTTTCCCCAACCCAAAACACTGCTCTACCGTTGACATTCACACATCCACATTCTAAAACAAACCAAATTACCAAATTCATTAAACACCTACAAATAAATTAACATATTCGTGTGAACAACATCACAATGACAATTGAATTATTATCAATCACCACCGGACCTGCTGTCCACAGTTCAACAGTTAACCATACGTAGTTCGACCAATTCCATGTCTGCCCAACACAACACAATGGTCCACCTACAACGTCGCTATTTTAGCATTGCGCAATAAAACAAAATGTACAACTCTTTCCAAACATCACCACGAGCAACTTAACTTAATTGAAGACACACGCTCTGCCGACATTATTATAGTCAAATACTATTGAAAGTAAGTCTGTCATCACATTTACATGTCCAATGCTACACTGATGTAACTTTGAACCGAAACCAAAAAAAATAAACCAACATCAACAACAAGACAACCACAACATTCCACACAACAACCAACAAATTGTACGTTCAAAAAAATATAAACGACATTATGTTCCAATCACATTCCTGCAGTGTAGCCATGAACACAAACTGCACAAAACATTTGACGCCGAGCAAATGTGTAAATTATGTAGCGTTGCGACATTTGTTTAAAAATAGGAAGTCAGTATGCACGCGATAAAGCAATCACACACAATTTAAGTAGTGTAAACTACTGAACGTCGTGTCATTTGTTATAAAAAAAACGAGTGACAATGTACGCGACAAAGCAAACAAACAATATCAAAGTACCATACTCCAAGACAGCCGAACCAAAACAAATTAATCTGTCAACGACGTTCACAAAAAATATAATCAACCATCAAAATGTACATTCAGAATCCATGTTGCAATTCCAAAAAATTCTGGGCTGACAGCGTTGTCACTTTCCTTCAACGTATTTTACTGCGAAGGCCTCCACCTGAGTCATTCAAGAACATCTTGACCATTGCTGCTCGTAACTCTGTTGGCGTTGTTTCCTCCATCGTGGCGCCTATGTTGCAACCATGCACGTACTGCCTGATGATGTAGCAGACAAATATTGCACAATCAGATCTGCAACCAGTCAACCAACCATATCAACGTCCTCGTGACTGTAACACGTTAAATTATTTTTCAAGGAAAAAAAAACAAAAACACATTACCACCACACTGGAACAACTTACGTTTCCGGGCTCTGTTGTGGACAATCAATCACTGAAACAAGGGGTCTGTCAAAGTCTGGCATTCTAACACTACCGGGTGCCAACCGTGGCCAGACAAATTTTGTATAATATTCGTCCACCCACTGTTTCTACGAAATCAATTCAATTATATGTCGTTTTCGTGTCATACAGGTTTACATCATACTAACTATAATTCATAACAAATGTTTTCCTGTAAAAAATGCACATGCTTTACGGAATGGCAGTAACTTTCCCTCAGAAATTACTACGTATGGTAAAAACAATTAGGCTGTTCACAAGCTTACCACTCTCAGCGATTCATTGTAATGTTCATCACGTATTCCTCGCCTCGGTTTTAACGAATTGTAATGTTTCCACGACCCGCTCACCGTGTCATGCACCATTACAGTCCAGTGTTTGGCATGGTACACCGGGTAATGTGTGTATCTGTGCCCTTTTGCAGCTTTAATTTGCACATTCAAATATTTCCCTCGTGACATTGCATTCGGATTCCTCATAAAATCCTGTTTCATTACGGCAGGCGTTCCAACAATATCAGGGATCTTGGGGAAAAAAAAATGCACTTCACAATATGGGTGCTGTTCGAAAGTATTCGTCTACGTACGAAAAAATACATGCAATAGACTTACCGAGCATACGCTGCTAAAGACATACGAACTGTCCCCAGCGTCTTGTCCGTCAATACCTTTTCCCTGCAATTCCATCAACATCGCTGCGTACGCGTCGATGACCTATACCAGCCAGCAGTGATGTTATTTGTATCACGCAAACATTTTTATACCTGAAACTCATGTTCGGCGTATGTGTAGAACATAATTTCCAATGTGTTAACACTATACTTACGTTCCCTTGAATAGAAGAGCTCTGCACTAGGTCACGGATATCATTGAACAAAACTTGTATACCGCTTTCACCTCCATCCCATATTACAGCTCTGTAAACAACATGACATCAATACCAAATGTACAAAATTACAAACTTTAGCTCACACAGTTACGTAGGAATGAAATCATATTCATATTGGTTACCCGTCGCCGTCAAATGTGTACACTCTTTTCAATAGCATAATTTCATCTTCATCAAGCATGTTCCACACATCATGTTTTTTGCTCATTCCAAATCCTTGCCATGTTTTATTTGCAACTTCAACATCCTCAACATCATATATTACTTCAGCACCAACAGCTTCACGATTACCCATTTTCCATTTCTGTTTCCCACGACCACCTAAACTAGGGTAATCGTAGTCAGTTAATCGAAATTCACGTCGTGCCTTGCTCTTAACTCTCCTCACCAACGATGTCATGTCTGGGCTAGGTCTGATGTCTTCCAACCTGTCAATCCTGTTCATCGTAACGCTATCAATGTTCACAAGGTTGTCCTCTTGTTCAGTGACAACAACATTTTCAATGTCACAATCCGACAATGAGGTATCCCAGTTTCTATTGACTAACTGTTCATCACCCAATTTACCAGCCCACACCATGTCTGTAACATCATCTGTGGTGGCAGGCATGATATCCGCTGGTTCTTTGTTTTTCTCCTTACAAACTGTCTGCGTTACTTCATGAACCTCACACTCATCCACATGGTCTTCCAAAACTGTTATCCTCGCTTCTAGCTTTTGAACTTGTGTCGTCAGCCTCAAAATTTCAGCATCCTTCGCAGCAATCACACTATCATAGCCGATGAACAGGTGGGTGGCCTGTGCACCTACTAATCTCGCCATTGCCGCAACTTTAACATCCGCATCACGCAAACGGTCGGACTTCACACAAACTTCCATCTCCAATTCATTAATTCTTTGCATAGCCTTTCCTAACTGTTCGGCTGCGTCATTGGTGTCTTCACAAACGGAGCCCCCAGGTTGTGTGCTTGCCAGTTCTAGTAGATCAGGAAAGAAAACCGGGCATGATCTGTCATCTGCCATTTGATTAGTATTATCAGTGACCGTACCGTATGGCGTTGTGATGCGACTTTCTTCATTCTTCTTGGCGTCCGGCCATTCAACCTCACCACCATTGGGTGAATCTGGCTGCCAACAATTTAAAATGGGTTCAGCAACGTTCACTGCAACATTAGGGGCATTAGCAGACAACGCATGCCACGTACTAACCGGCTCCACTACCAACACTTTCCCTCCCCCTTCCACACTTCCTTCTCCATCCGCCAATTTCTCAACAAAATACCTTTCGAGGACAGTCCCAGACAGTTTGTTAGGATTAACCTGTGCGCGTGGAAAAAAAAAAGGAACATCTGTTAAGTACAAACCAACCAAACGAATATCACATGACAACATTAACTTCAATGTCATACCTCAAAAGAACCCTCCACCGATAATTCCACGCTTTTCAGTTTACCAATTAATTTTCCAAGGTCCCACCGACAAAACCGTGGGGCAACGTTCGGTCTAGTTGGCTGTGTAATGTCCGTGTGCTCGCAAATCAGAAACTGCAAATAAAACAACAATGCCAAATGGTTAAGCACAACATCAACTACTCATAGTCAATCAAACAGTTCATGTTTTCAGAAGCTAAATGGTTTTTCTGGGTTTTACATCATAATCTTACCAGCAACGCTACGACACAACCGGTGACCCGTTCTGGCCTGCTGTGCGACTCATTCAACGAAAAGACCAGCGAGTTTCGGATTGTTGCAGTCCAATCATACAACCGTATAGTCTGCAAGTTATCGATAACCCGCACAAACGCCCAACCAATGGACTCACCTGTTGTTGGGAAAAATAATTTGGCACATATGTAAAGGCACATCAGCTTTGCAACATCTTCTTCGTCTCGCTCAGTCTTCCCACGCATTGCCACTACAAGCGCATCTTTGATTACCTTCGACGAAATCCGGTTGACGTTAGGACATCTTCTTTGTATAAAATCTGCCGGTCCTTTACTAACATGCGACAAATCTAACTTCTCCTTCCCACATTGCCAACCAAATAATAAACGGATGTCACTATTTCGGATTGGTAGCCCTATCCCCCCGATGTAAAATTTCTCGTCAATAGGGTTATATGTCTGAATCACACGACACACCGTCGCATCACACTTCTTATATGCAGCCGCATCCAATTTATGCACTCGGATTGCGTCAATCATGAGCCAGAACGGGATTTTGTGTAACTGCTTTACATGACGATCGTTGAAATCAAATTCTAACACGGTTTTTATAACGCCGGCAATGTTAGACCGGTACATTACCTTCTTCATGTCTACAAAACCTCTTCTTGTAGGACGTTTACCGGTCCTGCTTGTCTTGAATGGCAATTTTGACTGCTTCCTCGCAGCTAATCGGGTTGACGTTTGTACAGAAGCTCGTGACTGTGGAGATCTGCATTTTGCCTTACGTTCTGCACGCTGCCGGCTACCACTACCTCCACAAGATTAACATTA